CAGGATGCTATGAAGTCAGCGCTGTTCTTCTAGCCAGTGGCTCAGTTGATTGGAGTATTGTCCCAGGCACCGAAAGTTTGTGGGTTCAATCTCCGGTCAGGGCACATACTTAGGTTGTGGGTTCAACCCTTGGTCAAGGCACGTATGGAAGGCAATGGGTCAATGTTTCCCTCCCTCTCTCTCTCTCCTCCCCCCTCCTTCCTCTCTCTCTAAAATCAATAAACATATCCTTGGGTGAAGATTTTTTTAAAAAGTACAATTACCACTGCGTTAGCCACGCTCCAGTGTCCTGCCAGCCTGCAGGAGGAAGGCAAGGCTGACAGAGGATGCTCTTTCAGAAAAAAGCAGCACTAAAAACACCCCAATCAAGATGAGTGGAGAATCGTCCCAATAAACACACTTCGCATACAAAAACAAAGCAAAACGCAGGCACTTCAGAGGCAGGCCACGTGATGTGCTGGTTAAAAACGTAGCTCTGCAGCTGAGGGCTGGCTTCAAGCCCTGCTTCTGCAACTTTCTAGCTCTGTGACCTTAGACAAATCACATGACCACTCCGTGCCTCATCATTCTCATCCGTAAAATGGGGGAACTAATCCATCGAAGGTTAGTGGGAGAGGAGAGACCTGAGCCCTGTAGAACACTGCCTGGCACACAGGGCGTGCTCTGTCAGTGTTACTGATTGTTGTCCAGGAAAGATGGGACCTGGAAAGGGATTTGTTCAGTCCTGGTTCCTTATCCGCAGCGCAATGCCTTAGGCCCAGAGCACCCTACAGTCAATCTTGCAGAACTGCCTGAACCACCAAGTGGCCTTTCCCACTAAGCCTACCCACATCGGCCACCAGATCACTGAGTGCCCTTTCTGTTCCGCAGACAACAAAGTGCAGACTTCAACATCTGAGCTGACTGCCACTTGCTACACAGTGTCCTTGGGCAAGGTGCTTTCTTAACGTTACCAAGCTTCTGCTTTCTTGTTTGTTAAACCAAGAATGTTAAAACCCATCTGCTAGGATTGTTGTGAGGATTATGTGCCTGGCACCCAGTTGGTCCTTCCCTGGGTGGACAGACTTGGGCAGATCTGCCCCTTCCTCTCGCCCTTGCCCCTCCAGACTGATTGGAGAGCAAGAGGCCACATTGCTGGATTCGTGGCCTCCCTGACTCTAACACCCAAACCTTGAGCAAGAGCCGTGCCCTCTGCACAGACCAGCTGGAGAGCTTCATCCGTGGCTGCGTGAGTCAGGGGGTCATCAGTGACTTTTGTCCCTGTCACCTCAAGATGACTCCTGTGTCTGCAAGCTCTCTGCTAGAACGACTGACCAGAGTCCTAAAGTGAACCCCACAGGAGAGGAAGTTCTGCAGCCCGAGCGCTGGGCAGGGGCCTCAGCCTGCTGCGGGCTGGGGTGGGGGTGGGATGCGGGATCCACATTCCATTTCTGTCCCCATCTTTAGGCACATGACTGATCATCCAACTTACTTACTCACTGACACAACGAGAGGGGAGATTTTAAAGATACAGGGTTGTGTCCTGAAAAGTTTAGTGTAGGAAGAACTAGGAGTTTCTACATTTCTCCCACAAAGGCTCTTTACCCGCAGCTCCTGAGAAGTTTGGTACCCCATCACTGGGAGGTAAGGTTGGACAGTAACACGGAGTCATCAGCCTACCCCTTCCCTGGCCCCACCAGTCAACTTGGAAACCAGGTTGAAAAGGGCTGGTAATTACATCAAGGGGTCAGAATTTGAATCTAGTGCCAGGAGCATTTGACCTTGGGCCAGTCATTTGATCTGAGTCCGAATTTCCCTGCTGTAAAATAGGGATAGTACTGGAGTGACTGACTCATTAGTGTGAAGATGAAATGAGGGAACGCAAATGGAATGCAGCAGAGGATTTTTTTTTTCTTCAATAACAAACATCCAAGGCCTACTATGTGCCAGGGTCTATATGCCACAGACTAGAGGGATGTTAATAAATAAAACAAACATGACCTTGACCTTCATACTGCTTCCAGGGGAGAAGGGTGGCAGACATGGAATGCGAGGGAGGGTGTAGGCAACAGTTACGGCAACCAGCTAGCCTCTCTCTACCTTGATTTCCCAACAATAAAATGAGCCACCACACCCCCAGGCCATAGGACAGTGAGGTTACATGCATTGATACAGGAGGTGTTATTTACAGCAGCTACTACGTGCTCTGGCAGCACACACGTGACCAGCGTATTCAAAGGAGCTGTGGGATGTGTATGTAGCAGGGCAAGAGATGATGTGGAGGCTGAGCTAGACCAGCAGAAGGGATAGGCGTGTCCTGAGGAGGGGAGTCCCACGTCAAGAGCGGGGTGTGCTGGCGAGCTGGAAAAGGGGTGAGGAGTGATGACACCGCGAAACGGCAAGTCAGTTTCGGGAGCCGGGCACTGAGAATTACTGCCAAGGGTTTTAAGGATCAGGCTGGCAGCTTTAAAGCGTTTGTTTCTCTTTGTGTATGTGGAAACATGACTCACATGTGTCCTGTTCATTACTGTACCTCCAGCCCTTGGCACAGAGATCAGGGTAATTCCTTGCTGACCCTCACTTCCTCTAGTTCCCAGACCCATTGGCTTTCAGATCGCTCAGGGCCTTTAAATGTGTTGGCTGTCTTCAAGGAGCAGAGCGCGGGAGGCCTGGGGAGCACTGACGGTAAAACCGGGCCTGGGAGCACCTGCGTTTTCCCCACCCACACAGCCCCTTTGTGATCCCATGAGTCAGGTGTGCCTGGGCTCGACCTCAGGCAAAAATTTCTCCGGAATGCTGTGAACATTCAACCACGAGCGCAGTGACCGAGTACAGTGCCCGTTCATAGTATATCCTCAGTAAATACAAGCGTCACCACTTTCCGCTCCAAATAGATTGTTCTCTCCTCAGCACCAGGCTGGGAGGGCAGAAGCGGGGTGGGGGAGTGTGGCGGAGAACAGACTCTTAGGAGGCAGAGGTGGGTATTTTAATTACAACACCACTCGCAAAGGGGCAAACTGTTCGGTCTGCGACTCAGTGTTTACAGGATACGGGAGTTAGTCTTTCCTGGCAGACCCCTGTAACCTGTAACCGGGGAAGGGTCCCAAAAGCCAGAACGAGGAGCTGGGACGCCGCCTGCAGGACAGAGGGCACCTAGCTGTGCCCACGTGGGAGGGGAACAGAGGGACTGCTTTCCCTGAGCTGGGTCAACCGGTGCCTATCACCGGGTTTAGAACCCAAGAACCGAATGAGAGCTGGAGGTTGGGGTGTATTTCTCCACATCTCAGGGATCAGAGCCCTGGAAGCGGCAAGTTGAAAGTCCACAGCGCTGACCCTCCAGGGTATGTGGGCGGGGACTTACGCGGAACCCCGACATCCACTCCAATGAGGGTGCTCCCACCCACGTCCCTCCAAAGGGCTAAGCTCCCTCTCCAGCTCCTACCCTTGCCCGCGGCACCCAATTCCACCTACGCGGGCACTCCGGGAGCCTCCGGGGCAGCCGGGAGGCGTGGCCCGCCCCTTTGATGTGCGCCGGCACCGCTGTGATTGGACAGTCGCTTGTGACGTGCGGGGACTGCGGTGGGCCAGGGTGCTGCGGCAGCCGCAGCGCCAGCCGCGGCTGGGGCTCGGGCTCCCGGGCATTTAAAGGGGACGCGGCGGTGTCCCGGGGGGTGGGGGATGGAGGGCAGTTGGAGGGACGGCCCAGGCGCACATCATCCACGATCCCTCGGGACCGGAGGGATTCGTGAGCCGGAGCCCAGAAACCCGGGGGTGGATAAGACACCACGTCCCCTCCAATTCCAGTAAGCACCCCTGGCTCCATCCTGCGCTCAAATACCTCAGCTAGCCCCTCTCCCCACTCTTTCACACTCCAAACTCAGCTGGGACAGACTTCTGCCGCCGCCGCTGCCCACGTGAGTCCTGGGCTGCCCAAGGCAGGGGAGGGCTGGGGTCCGAGAGTGGAGTGGGGGCTGTGCGGAGTTTGAGGGTGCTCCTTCACGCGTGTGTCAGTGGGGGAGTCCTTAGAGCAGAGGAACGAGTCCCGCTTTCTCCTGCCCCAGGAACGTGGTGCCCGGGTGTATTCTCCGTCCCTGACTATGTCGAAGCGAAAGAATCGCTGCCCCCTTGCTCCCCACCACCCACGAATCCCCTCAGCTCCCTAAACAGCGCACCCCCCGCCCCGCATTGGAGAGAAGCACCCGCCAGCTGGGGGTGTGCCAGAGTGCCTGCCTTCAGCCACCTCTAAAAATATCTCTCTCCCCCAATTCCACCCGGCAGCTGCCACCTCCCTGCCCAATGAGGATCCCCTCCCGGTAGGGCAAGCCCAGAGGTGACTCCAGGTCCCAGCTTCCTCCCTGGCACCAGGGCTCCAGGTTACCACCTCCTGCTAGTCAGGACGGGAACTTCATAGACCAGGAGGGTCTCCAGGGCAATATGGGAAGCTCTGGCTGCAGTTTTTCCAAGAAGTACCAGAATCCTTGAGTTCTAATCCTGATTCTGAGACTGTGGCCCCAGGGTGGCAGCTTGACCTCTTTTGGCCTCTGTTTTTCCTATTTGCTGCAGTAGTGAGGTTGGGGGTGCTCTCTGGGGGAGGAAAAGAACTCCAACTTAGTGGCTGAATCAGATTTCCAGTGACCGATACAAAGAGACCTGGTCTTGTTACTGTGGGATCTCTGGGGTCCTCGCCCGCCCCCATATTCATCCTGCACATTTCCTGTGGTTAACTGTCCCCAAACTGTCCCGTGGGCTCCATCCATCCATTAAGAAGGGAATTGCAAACTTAGGGGCTATACCAAAAAAGGGCTTGTTTTCCTCCCCTATTCCCAGGGGACCCTCCCACCCATTTCCACAGATGTCATCAAAGAGCAGTTTTGTAAAAAAGTAGGGGGAAGTGGGAAGGAATCTGGTGACCCAGTGTGGGGTCAGGGAGGCAAGCACCGCTTTCACCTGGGACTAATTGTGGGCTCCCTGTCCCCCCAGAGAAACCCTTCTCTCTCTCTGTTCCAGCTGCTGGAGAGGCTCAGAGATCCTGTCCTTTTATTTGAGGAACTCTTTTAGATGACACAAAATGATTTGATCATTCAGGACGAGACTGCTAGAGGTGAGTAACTTCTTTGAATGTCACCAGAGACAACTTCCAGCAGGGCCCGGGGTCCCTCTGACTACCCTGGGACTGGGCTGGGTGGGGGAGGGGTCACAGCGTGCTTTTCTCCATTTCCAGGGGAAGAAACCTAGGATGCCTGGCTTTCTGCTCTGGGAACTAAAAGAAACAAGGACAACTTGCCAAATAATAAAAATTTTAACCACTTTCCCTAAATACTATTATTAGTATATTAAAGAATAACTATATCTTTTGCTAAGAGAAATGAGAAGTTTTGAGGATGGTTAAAAATCCGTAGACTATTCCACCAAATTAGAAAAAAGAAAAAAGAAACAAAAGCAAAGGAGACCCTTTTCTACAGGATAAAAGTTGGTCTCTGGGTGGCTTCTGGAGACCTTCGGTATCTTCTTGTACCTAACCCCTTGCATCTCCACGTGCGTGGCATGTTCCAGCACGTGTCTGCTCCTGTTTGCTTTCACAATGGGAATGGCACCAGGAGGGACATGTGGTATCAGCCAGGATCCTGGAAAGCTGAAACTCCCTCCAGATAAGGCCTGGGGACAGCCCTCCCCACTCCAAAAGCTGCCCTTCCCTTGTCCCCGTGCCTGCCTCCCCTTCTCTCCCATCATCTCCTCGGTCTTGTCTCTTTTCTTGACCCCCTCCCTCTTTTGCCCACTGAACCATTTAGTTTTGACCATGGCACCCAATTCTGAGATTAAAAGTTCTTAGAGAAAGTGCTGTGAGACCCACATCCCATCCTGACCGAAAGGGTTTAATACCTATGTGGTCGAAGTGGGGAGGGATGTGGTACCTCAAGATGGAAAGTGATGGAGCCCCTCCCTCTGACCTATGCCCTGTTCCTGGATGTCCCAGTCTCTGTCTCAGGGGCAATAGTTTCTCCCTGTTATCCTGGGATGGTTTGGATAGAGTGTCACCTTGACAAAGTCAGAGGCGTTTCCAGTGTCTCCCATTGTCACCACCAGAGGGCAGCAGCCAGCCAGATATTTGCTCCTTTCCGTATCTAGTCTGGCTCTCAGTACTTTCAGAGATCGATCCCAGCTGCCTCTGGTCTCTTATTCAAATCCAGGGTGGAGGGTGTCGGGGGTGGAGGGAGCACTGAGAGCTGTAGGTGGTGCCCTTTGTAGCTGCATTGGTGAAGATCCCACAGAGCCAAACTTTGTCCCCAAAGCCACATAGCAAAATCCAGCAGAAATTTCAATCCAACTCTCCAAAACCTCTGATTCCTTCTCATCTGCTGAATTCATGAAAGTGTGAAGAGCAATGAGAGAATATAAGGGAAGAATATAATAAGGGAAGGTGATTTGTCAACTGTGTTGTGCCATACGCAAGAAAGGGGCAATGATCATACTAGAGAAAAAAGCACTGGTCTCAGACTCAGATCTGGTTTTGAGATCTGTCTCTGCCATTTACAGTGTGTGACCTTTGCGCAAGTCAGTTAACCTCTCTCAGTCTCCAGCTATATCATCTATAACCTCTCCGGCATCACACTGGATTACTAAGAGGATGCCTAGCAGGGGCTTTGTGGCCTGTAAGCGTTCTGCCCGTCTGAAGCGTTGCTTTTACTGAGCTCCTGGGAGTAGTTCCTGGGGCTCAGCAGAGGGGACAAGGCTGGGTGGCGTTGGTGGTAGAAACAGAGCCAGCTGACTGGGCGCTGCTAAACAGACCTTGTGTGGTTGTCAGGAGCTCTGGACGACGGCTAGAGACCAACAGAGTCCTTACGGGTGGTGTTCAGGGTGAGGTGCCAACAATGAGCGGGTGTTTTCCGGTTGCTGGCCTCCGGTGCCTGTCCAGGGTAAGTGGGTCCCTCCAGGGGTTTCTTAAGATGAGGCCTCAGCCTCCATGTTTCCACCATAGGATGGGAGGCACCCTCTCTAGCCCCTTTCAGGCTTGCCCTCACCCTACTGGGCCTTCACTAACCCCTAGAAGCTTCTATCCCAGTTGCAAGGTCCTGATGCTTTACATCCTCAACTCCTGAGACCGTGGGCCACTGAGACTCCCACGTGGCTGTTGCTGAGACCAGTGGGTGACGAGGATGAGGTCTCAAAAACAGTTCTATTAGGGAGGCAGACAGCTAGGTTCAAAGCTTGGCTCTGAAATGAGGAGCCTGGCCTTCTGCTTCACAAGGGGTTCCATCCCGCCCATAAACATCACAGGAATATTAGGGAGTTAGGAAGACGCCAGAAGGAGGAATGGGCTAATCGGGGTGGGAGGCTCGGGTCGGGGGGAGGGAGAAAAGCCGTGTAGCAGACATTCTGAAGCTGTGCGTGATCTGCTTGCGCTGCCCCTCCTTCCATACAGCTGCTGGCAGGCAGAGGTGGCAGGGACATGCTGCCGAAGGCTTCTGTCCCCATTTGCTTGCCTTTCTATGTGCCCTCACACTTGCCCTGCTGTCTCCATTCTCTCCCATGTCCCCCGCCAACATGGCTCTGGCCCAAGGTCTCCACTTCCTGGAGCCCCTGGACTGCACTCTGTCTTCGGTCCAGTCTGTCTCCACACTCCTCTATTGTTACTTACTCCTGGCCCCCTCCTTCTCCACCGCTGCCTCATACCACCCCCTGCCCGTGTCCCCACTAACTTCTCCTCCACTTTCTCAGCCACTGCTGCTCTCTTTCCTCTCCCTTACCTGTCTCCCAGGTATGTCGTGGCCTGGCGTGGGAGGCTTCTACCTCCCCAAGCCCCACTGCTTCTGCTGCCCGCTTGCTTCGGACTCTGGCAGGAACCCCACCCGCTGACACAGTCCTCCTGGGGAATTGGCAAGTGACTAGTGATGAGCTGTCAGCACAGGGCCCTAAAACTCCCTGGAAAAGCTGAGTCCCATCCATGGTCCCCTGCCCAGAGCCATCTGGCCAGAAGCAGCTCCCAGAGAGCCTTCCAGGCTCTTGTGCAGTCAACCTACCTATCTAGTCATTCCGAGAGCTAAAACCCAGCTCCCCGGCCAGTGCCGAGGCCCCGGCAGCTACTCTCCAGGCCTGAGGTCTGGCACTCGTCCACATGCTTTTGAGCTGACCTATGTTAAGTCCCAATGGCCCCGAATGAGAGTAGCAGAAACCGGTGCCAAGGAAGCCCTTCTGGGCTCAAGAGGAGGATGGTCCTCTAAGGATAAACCCCAGCGCAAGGGATGGGCAGGGAGCTGGGTGCGGGGTCCGCCGCGGTGGGTGCTCCCCCAGCTTAACCAGCTTTGGGTCCTCCTCAGGTCTTGGATGTGCCAGCACCTCTGGCCGAGGCCTGCTAACCAGCCTCTCCCGGGTCGGCGCCCGCCGCGCCCGCTCTCGCTTGCTCCCTCTTCCTCCTCCTCCTGCTCTTCTCCTCCCCGCTCCCAGGACAGCGGGATGGCTGCGCAGGGCGCGCCGCGCTTCCTCCTGACCTTCGACTTTGACGAGACTATCGTGGACGAAAACAGCGATGACTCGATAGTGCGCGCTGCGCCCGGCCAGCGGCTGCCGGACAGCCTGCGTGCCACCTACCGCGAGGGCTTCTACAACGAGTACATGCAGCGGGTCTTCAAGTACCTGGGCGAGCAGGGCGTGCGGCCGCGGGACCTGCGCGCTGTCTATGAGGCCATCCCCCTGTCGCCGGGTATGGGCGACCTGTTGCAGTTTGTAGCCAAGCAGGGCACCTGCTTTGAGGTGATTCTTATCTCGGATGCCAACACTTTCGGCGTGGAGAGCTCGCTGCGCGCTGCGGGCCACCTCGGCCTGTTCCGCCGCATCCTCAGCAACCCGTCGGAGCCCGACGCACGGGGGCTGCTGACGCTGCGGCCCTTCCACACGCACAGCTGCCCTCGTTGCCCCGCCAACATGTGCAAGCACAAGGTGCTCAGCGACTACCTGCACGAACGGGCCCAAGACGGCGTTCATTTCGAGCGCCTTTTCTACGTGGGCGACGGCGCCAACGACTTCTGCCCCATGGGGCTGCTGGCCAGCGGCGACGTGGCCTTCCCGCGCCGCAGCTATCCCATGCACCGCCTTATCCAGGAGGCGCAGAAGGCCGAGCCCAGCTCCTTCCGCGCCACCGTGGTGCCCTGGGAGAGCGCCACTGAAGTACGCCTCCACCTGCAGCAGGTGCTGAAGACGTGCTGAGATGGCCGCCTGCAGGGGGCGCCCGGACGAGGAGGGATGGGGGGTAGAGGGGGATTGGGAAAGACAACCTGGTTTTGTAACTCCCCTTTCCCTTTCGCTTTGGTATGTCCCTCCGGGAATTTCTAGAATTCCAGGCTCGTCCTTTTGGGGGCTGAGGGAGGGAGTTCGGAGCCGTCCTTATCTATGCAGTTAAACCAGCTCGGCTGCCTCCCTCAGATCCACCACAAACAGTTAAAGTCTAGAGTCCGGCGCAACCCGGGTGGTGCGCATACCTGGGAATGCAGCAGCGGTTCCAAAGCCTCGTCCTCCGAACTGGGAGGAACGGGTTCCCTTGCAGGGGAGAGAACTTGAACGGCTGCCCCGGCCGCATAACCTGCCCTCCCTCAGTCTTAGGTCAAGGAGACTCAGGTCCCGAAATCCTCCCACACCGGACTCCCAGCGAAGAGATGACGCACTCCCGCTCTCCCGACAGCCCCGGGCCTAGAAGTTGCTTCACCCACCGCGAGCACACGACTACATCCCTTTTCTCCCTTCCCTTCCCCGCCCACCCTGCCAGCATCCCCAAAGGAAAAGAAAGCCAGAAGGAACAGTCGCCTCCTGGTGGTGGAACGAGGTAGCACACAGTCCCGCTCGAGTCAGGCCAACGAGGCACCTCGCAGCGCGCCACGGTGTCTCCTCGCACCCCAACCTCGTCTGTGCAGCAAGACCAGGGACTTAACCAAAGTCACCCTCGCGGGCTGGGTCCGCTGCGTCCCCCTCATCCGGTATGGAACAGGAAGCCATGATGTTTTAAAGCTGAGCCAGCGAAACCCAAGCTCCTCCTAACTCTTTGGTGTTTTAGCGCTATAAAGCAGATGAAGGGGGAAGAGATGACTGAGATCTCTGGCGCGGCAATCTGAGGGGTGAGGGTGAGGTGGTCTCTGCTCTCAGGGAGCCCCACTTAAATAAGGGAGTTGGTCCCCACTGTGGCAGAGTGCCCGGCTTGAAAAATCAAGACTGAACACAGATGGTGTTTGGCACATCAGCCCACGGGCCATCGGAAGTCCGGCACAGAGAGGGCAGCAATGAGGATGGAGGGGGTGGGAAAGATACTGCTGCCAAGAGCAGGCAGAAGGGGCTCAACAGTTAACAGGGAGCCTTGGAACTGAAATTCCTTTCAGTCCCTCTCTGGCCCCCCAGCCCTGCAGGGCAATCCATCAGGAGTTCATCAGAGTTTTATTCAAAGTTGGCACTTTGGCAGCTGGAGACCCCACCCTCCGTGGAATGGGGGTCCTCTGTGGACAAGATCGCCGAGCTCCTCAGCTCCGGCTCTTTCCTGTCTGCAGCAGGCCTCTGGGCATCTCTTCTCTCTCCCAGGGACCCCTTCCCACCACAGTGGGGGCAGGTGCAGACACAGCTCACAGCTCAAGAGGTGGGCAAGCCTAGTCCAGCCTTGCTTGACCTTGGAGCTGGCTTTGGCCTTGGGGCTCAAGTTTCACTCAGAGTAAAGCCTGTGGTCAGCAGTCCAGAAAGACCCCCAGGCTGTCTGTCAGCAGGTTGGCTCCACATAGTTACCTGGGAAGAGCCCGGCCCCCTCTGAGCTGACACCCTCACACCAGCCATCGGAGTAGCGGCGGGTGATGCAGATGACAGTGCCTTCGGAGAAGGAGAGCTCATTGTCCTTCTGGCCGGTGTATGGGTAGAGTGTCACCACTGCGAGGAGGAGGAGAGGGGGCGCTGTGAGATGCGTCTCCTGCCCCGCCGTGGGGATGCTGGGACCCAAGGGATTCGAGGGAGCTGAGCATCCAGAGAGGAAGGTTGCCAGTAGTGGGGCAGGAGGTGCCTTCTCCTGGGCCCTGGGGGTCCCTTCCCCAGCTCAGTTAATAACAATACCAGGCCAGCTGCTCTCTTCCCGGCTTGGTCCTGGACTAATGGGTGGGTTAGGGGCAGGACAATAGGTACAGAATGCCCCTGGGGTAGAAGAGGGGGGAACCCTGGTGGTAGGATCTGGTCAGGTACCTTTTTCCAAGTAGGAAGCAGGGACCCAACTGGGCTCTTCCGGCCCAAAGCCTGGTGGAGGTGGAGGTGGCAGTTCCAATTCATCCACTTCCAGGATTGGAGGGGGGAGCAGGTCTGGAGCTGGGAGAGAGAGCAGGAAGGCTGCCGGTGTGGCACAGAGAACTCCCACTCACCCAGGAAACGCTTATGTTCGCAAGCAGAACCCCAGGATCTAACCATTTGATGGAATCTTCTTCCAGCCCTTGCCCCGCCTGGTCCTCCCACAATGCTTCCAGCACAGAGAAGGTGTTCAGGAAGCACTGAACCTTTGGACAGTGTAGGGTGGTCAGACGTAGCTAGGTAACCTAAGGACACATCATCTAAACCTTCATCCTCAGCTCCATCTGTTAAATTGGAATGTGAAGATCCTCTTAGGGTTGTTCAATTTAAGTGAGAAGATGGATGAGAAGCTTTGAGTCCAAGGCCTGGTATACAGCAGGTGCTAAGTTACATTACTTCACTTTCTCTGCCTCCTTTCTCTCCTGTTACCCCTGCTAGGACAAGCCTACACTGAGGTGAGCTGGACTAGACCCAAGAGGGGTAGGAAGGGGTGTTGGGACGTGAGAGAAGGACCCTACAGTTGAGCTAGGAGGAGAGGGGGGAGGTCGTACCAGGCAGGGGCAGGGACAGTTCCTCCGGTGGAGGGGGCAGCAGGCAGATGTCCGGAGCTGGTGGAGGAGGTGGGGCAATGGAGCTGGGAAGAGGAGGGGCTAGGGGTGCTGCCTGCCCCTTGGTCGTGGAGATCCCACCAACACCGTCCGTGCTGCTGGAGATCAGAGAAAACAAGGTTGGCCTAATTTGGGGGACACCTTCCCCAACTCAGTGTCCCCCAGCTGGCCCTGTCCCTGTGATCCTGAGTCCTCAACCCCAGTAGTCACCATGACAACTGGCATGAGACCCCTCTTATCGCCCTGCCCCATGGCCATTGCCAGCTTGGACTTTTGGGGCTCACCCTGCTGAGGTCAGGGAAGAGGCAGATGAGGCGGCAGAGAGTTTGCCATCGGGCAGCACCGGGAGCTGCACTGGCTCGGGGATCCGGGGTGGTCTCCTAGGGGTGGAGGAAGGGGGTGCTGTTAGGGGGTAGGAGGCTTCCAACGAGCAGGGGGCAGGTGCAGGGAGGAGGGGGCAGCTGGCAGAGGAGGAGGCTTGGTGCCTGCGTGGAGGCGAGGGTGGGGGAATAGTTTCAGGGTCATGTGGGGCCGGTGTGGATCACACTGAGGCCTCACCCCAGAGTTGCAGAGGCGGGTGTGGCAGGCGCCTTGATGCTTTTTCGTGACAGGGTCCCGGTCCTTGACAGCTGCGTGCTCACATCCTGCAAGGGGAGCAGGGGGCTGGGCTGACATTGGTGGGTGCCCCCCAATAACCCCTTCATCCCACAGAGGAAATGGGGGGGCAGGCAAGAACCAGGAGGGAGAGTACAGGCGCAGCAAGTTCCCACTTCCACTTCCCAGCCCCCCCGCCCGCCCCACCCCTCTCGCGCTCTGCCTCGGCACCCAGTCTGCCGCAGGCCCCACAGAAACCTCAGAGCACAGACAGTCTGAAGGCCACTTCCTCTGCATGGCCTCAGTGTCTGGGTGGGCCCTTCATCTCACCCGTGACTCAAGGCGTCTCAGAGCCCAGCGTGCTGGTCCCTAACTGACAGACCCCCAGCGTGGGGCTGAGGAAAGTGGGGGAGGCGAGGACCATCACACTTCGGGGCGGCCCACCTGTGCAGGCCTGTGGAGCGGCGTGGGGGAGTTCAGGACAGAGGTGCAGATTTAGAGTGAGGTGCACCAGTCACAAGGCGCTAACCCACGTGCAACAGAGCGCCCCTTTCATGGTAGGGTTTCCCCAAGAGTAGGTATGTGGGGAATGACAGCCTCTGTTCTTCTGCCGGGACAAAGCAAAGGGGCTTGAGCTGAATCATAAAGCATTTAAGTGGGAAAATAGGAAGAACGTAGTCGGGGGCGGGGGGAGGCTTGGGGACTGAAAGAGAGAGTTTAGTTTCCCCTTTTGGGGGAGAAGGTGTGTTTAGGATATGGGGGGAGGGGGTCATTTAGGTACAGAGGGGCTCTAATCTAACCCGGAATGTTGGAGGGTGGGGACGGGAGTTGAAAAAATGGGATAGGTCTCCCACCTCTCAGAAGAAGATGGGCCAAAAAGAAAATGCCAGAGTCATGCTCCCCTGTCTTCACCATGTCCCATTCGACCGGCTCCCTCCCTGCCCCTTCTCACCCAACAGCAGCTCTGGGGTGACTTCTCAGTGTGGTGACCTCAAACCTCCAGACAGAGGAAGTTGCTGTTCTCATGCAGCTGGGGAGCCGTTCTCAGGCACCCTCATCACCGCCCTTCCTCCTCTGCCCTTCACACGCGCCCCGCCCCCACAGCTCAAATGTCACTCTCAGCAGATCATCTGAGTGCGGGGTAAAGGCCAGTTCTGGGGAGGGGCGGGGGGGGGTCAGGAAGGGTTTTTCAGGAGGGGGGCTCCTCCTTAAGTTAATGGTGTCAGGAGTGAGAAAAGAAAGGGACTGCAGGCTGGGACAAGGACATGAGTGGGAAGAGAACGTGGGTCTGCAAATAAAGGGGCCGAAGGAAGACGGGGGGATGTGGAGAAAGAGAAGGAGCCCCTGCCTTTACCTTGATGCCATGGCCGATGCCATCCAGGCAGCCGAAGTTGATGGGTCTCCTGCAGTAGGGCGTGAGCGGGGGCAGGCTCTCCGGGGCAATGATTTTCTGGCTGGGGAGCAGCCTCTGGACAGCGGCTAAGGTGCCTATCTCCCTGCGCGCCACCTTCTCCATATGCATGTTCACCATCTGCGTGACAGGATTTGAGGTGACAGTGGTGGGGGGGGGGAACGTGCTCTACACAGTGCCCTTTCCCTTTAGGGAGCAAGAGGCTAGAGACTTTGGGGGTGGGGGTAGGGACCGTGGGAGGCAGTGAGGTCCAGAAAAAGAATGAGTTTTGTCCTCAAGGCCACAAGGCACTTGGGAAGCGTTGCCAGGGGAGGATGGAGCCACTTTGGAGCAACTTCCTGGTGGAAGAGAATCGGGGTTATTATTAGCTGAGCAGGCACCAGGGGAAAAGAGGAAGCACAGCATCCCTGGGGATGTCGGGAAGAGGCGGAAGCACTGGGCTGGCTTGGGAGCAGAGGGGGAAAACGTGGACGTGGCGGAGAACTGTGGCAGGGCCAGTTCTCCCTTTTGGGGGACAAATAAGTGAATTAACTTCCCCTTGGGATGTTCTATGGAGAAACCTACAGCAAGGAGAGGCAGGGATTTCCACGCGCGGGGATGAGAGAAAAGACACACCCACACTGAGCATGGGGTGCTGCACAGGTCAGGCTGGTGCGCAACTGGATCTGTGCATGTGGCTTATGGGCAATTAATTCCTCGGCCGAGGATCCAGGAAGGAAGGCGGAGGGTGTGTGCAATAGATGGGCGGGGGACGCTGGTGGTGGCAGTGCTTCCAGGGCTGAACATGACCTTGCCAAGCAAGCGCTCTGGGTCTGGGACATTTATTAAGTCATCGTCTCTGATTAGATGGAAACAGGGTCTGTTTTGCCTCTTTCCTGGCCTTTGCAGCCACCGTGATTCGTAGCGCCTGCTTTCTACCAGGCGAGACAGAATTCAGAGAAAGGACAAGCTCCGCCTTCCGGGAGTACCTAGTCTGATGGGGCAGCAGGGCCCAGCACTGAGGCATACGCACAAAGATAAGGAGGTTCAGATCACTTGGGAATTGCCAGGCTTCTGTGGCAGAGTCAGGTGCTTGGACATGGAAAGAGGATTTACTGGAGAAAATGCCCCCGTGGAGCTGAATAGCTGCAGGAAGCCTTCCCACATTCCTTACCTGGCCCAGCGTGCTCACACGGGCTTCCACCTGTCGCAGAGCCACTGTCTGCAGGTCCAACATGCGCAATGTGTGCCTGGCCAGGTTGCCCACCTGGTAGGCCACGCTGGCCAGGGCCTGGGTGGTAAAGGCCATGGTCTCCTCCAGCGCCTTCCGCTTGTCTGTGGACTGAAAGGCACACAGTCCTGGTCAGAGGCCAGCGCCTTGCATTGGTCCTTCGCTGGGAGAGTGTGATGGGAGAAGGTATGGAAAGGTGCGGGCTGAATCGGGAAAAGCAACAACCCTTCGATGTGTGAAGCGGTTTCCATAAGAACAATGGTACAGTAAGGGGGACTGAGGGCACATCAGAAAAGCAACTCTAGCCCTGGGCAATGTGAGCAAGGGAAGGGAAAGATACTCCCTCTGAAACAGTCATGCTGAGGATTATCCCTACCACCTTCCTGAGGACCTCGTGAGGGGTAAAGGTGAAGAATAGAAAGGAGAGAGGAGGCCGATTCTGGCTGGAGGAGATCTCAAACTTAAAGCCAACCAAGCAATGTCAGGCCCTCATCCCAGACCTTCTAACCAAGGTCCACTGGGAGCGAGGCTGATGAGCCTGTGTCTTTAAAAGCTCCCCAGGTGATTCCTGAGCTCTTTGTTTGGCTCCAGATTGCAGGGGGTGTTTGGGGAAGAATGATTTGGCCCATTTTATGGACAAGGAAATTGAAGCCCGAAGACGGTGACCTCATTCATTCATTCCCTCCAATCGCCTCCTAGTGCATGGGGAGGGAAACCCAGACTGCTAACCATGGCCTGTGCAGGACCCCCCGTGGCTGGGTCCCTTTTTCCCTTCACCCCCATCCCCTCCCGCTCCCTGTCTCACTTGCTCCCCTCCAGCCACAAGGGCCATTGGATTTCTGTTCCTGATCAAGCTAAGATTGTTTCTACCTCAGGGCCTTTGCACTTGTGCTTCTGTCCAGAATCTTTCTTCTTATTAAGTCTTAGCTCCTCAGGGACACCTTCCTTCACCACCTTATGATTTTCCCCAGCCCACTTTTTTATTGACTCTCTCATATATTTACCCTGTTCTCTTTTCTTCAGAGCACTTAGCACTATCAGCAATTATTTATCCATTTCCTTAATTATCTACCCCCCCCCCCACACACACACTAAAATGTAAGCACAATGAGAGCAGGGAGCTTGTCTGTTTTATTCTCTTTCCCATTATGGTACAGTGACCCCCACACAGACGATAATAATTTGTGAGTTAATTAATGGATTCACTGTAAACCCAAATACTTGCTGGGCATCTTCCCACCGCATGCCAGGCGCTATGCCAGAGGCTGAGCAGGGTCACACTGCCTGTCAGTGGTGAAGGGCTGGGCAGGGAGTGCCTTAAGACAGAGAGGGATTTTTTCAGTTCCACATCAGGCCTTGGGGGCTGGGCAAAACCTCTTCGGTCATTTGATTCCCCAGGCAGCTTCCTTATCGCTGGTCGGTCATGGAGTCGCTGCACCTTGCAGCCTCGTGACCCAGGGCCTCCTCAAGGCCAGTCAGCGGAGAACAGCCTGGACCCTAGCTGGGCAGAGTGCTGAGAGAGACAGGGGTGCTTTCGGTGTAGCCTGAATTAGGCTGGAGCCAAATAGACCCTGACCCTTGGGAGCCATCCTCCCTGTGGCATTCCTCTCGGGAGTCCCTGTCTGCCTTTCTGTTCCAACGCCACCCAGGAGATGCTGATTTGCATGCGATTTACATACATTAGCATATGTAACCAAGTGCCTTGAAAAGCAAAGCAATCAACCCAGGATGTTAAAACCAGAAAGGATAGCAGGTCTTGTTCTTGTTCAAGACCTTTCTTTTGCAGGGGAGGAAATGAAGGCCCAGATGGAACAGTGACTATTCCTTTGGTCTCTACCCAGATTTCTTACCTCAACTCTCCTGTGCTGTTCCCTCCCTGGACTGGCATGTGGAATCCATCACTGGATTTTTCCTATCAGCCTAAATAGGAAATATGCCTGCTTGGGCCCGGCTCTGGGAAGCTAGAGCCTAGGTGACTCCTAACCCCTGGCTTTTGTCTTAGACCAAATTAGGTCTGCAGATCAAGGGTTTGGAATCTATCTTCATAACTGACTGCTTATTTATCATGCAAATTACCCTGCATATAAAACTCCATGGACCCTGACGGAGAACTCTGAGGTTGACCTTAGCCTGCCCTCCCCCATTCCCCATGGCTTCCTGACACCTGCTTGGGGTGAAGGGAGGGGGGAGGGGGAGGGGGAGGGCTGAGGGCCTGGGAACCAGGGCTTGTTAAAGAGCAGATCTGAGAAGTCATCCAAACCCTTCCCAGGCATTTGCTCTGCAGACAAAACTCCTTGGAGAGGCCAGAAAAAGTTCATTGGTTGTGTGGTCTCATAGTGATCTGCATGAAGGAAGCCAGCGATCCCAACCTGGATCAGAGCATCCTGCGCCCTGGGTATTTTGCAAGGGCTGCTCCACCGCGCTAGAACTGGCTCTCGTGTCTCTCACTGTCCTGTGAATCAGATGATGGTGACGGTGACGATGCTGATGATAGCAACCTCTGCCGTTTATCCTGGCCTTCTTAAGGGGCAGGCACTGGGCTAAACGCTTCGACACATTGTCGTATTCAACCCATGTGAAGAATCAGAGGGGAAACTTGCCACAGGTCCTACAGTTGGTGGTTGGCAGAATTGGAAATTGGAGTCAGGTCTTTGCACCCTCAAATGCTGGTGCACCCTGGGAAGTGAGCGAACCTTTCTGAGCCCCAGCCCCTTGGTTGTGACGTGGGCGTGGTCCTCACCTCACAGGACTGGGGTGTGGGCTAAAGGAGGCAGCCCACCTGCTTAAAGTAAGGGGCAGAGCGGTTTAACTGTTATTATCACTGGTTCTCATTAATCTGCCATTTTCCCATGAACTTTTGCTCCTTTCATTTTTATTTTTCAACACTCTCATGAATCTGGGAGGACACTGTGCCACATCTTACAGTTTGGCTAAAAGAGTTTCGAAAAATGAAGTTTTGCCCAAGTGATAACAGGATTAGCCTGTAGCCCTTAAGGAGCAGAGGAAACTGCGGAGAGAGTACCAATAAATTGTCCTGAAGTCCTATAGCACGTCAGGGAGACGGGAAAGCGGAGAGCTCAGCCTCAGGGGTCTGGAGGCTGATGCCCGGCTCTACTGTTTCCAAGCCGTAGGACCTTAAGCAAGTCCCCTTGCCTCCCTGTGCTGCTGTCTCCTCATCTATGAAACAGGAATAATAGTGTTGTCTTACAAGGCGCTCATCAGGATTAATGACATAACAGAGGTGCTCAGTCGTTATTAGGTTTTTCTCGTTCCTCTTCCCTTGATCCGGGAATCCACATGCTCAGTCCCGGGACAACCACGCAATTTAGAAAACTGCCCTAAAGTGCCACTGCACCCTCGTCTTTGCCTGGCAGCCCGCTCCCAGCAGCCGTGTTGTTCACGCCCTGGCCTCTGCGCCTGACCCCCTCCCTCTAACGCAGCCTAGGCTGCCGGCCCTCTGTTCTCCCGCTCTCCCTGGTCCACCTCAAGTTCACTGCAATGCTTGGGAAGTCCTCTCGAAGGCTGGCCCAGAGGCAGCCTGAAAATGGAATGATGGCACCGACATTTGGGTGAGGACAAGTCTTCGGGCCTGTGGACCTGAGTGGGAGCGGGGGAGGAAATGAACGCAGGGCTAGGCCTGATGATAGGATAGAATAGCGCTGCCTGGACAGCTGAGGCTTTGGGAGAGAAAAGGGGCACAGTGCAGGCGCGGGCAGCAGTGGGTCACAGCTAAAGTTTGGGGGGCTGGGCTAAAGCTGAGGCCTGGAGTGGGAGGACTTCTCAGCCAAAGCCCAGCACAACCACCTGTCAGGATGGCCCCCGTGGCCTTGCCCTGGGGATGGCCTTGCCCAGGGCTCCTTGGGGAGCTGGGGTGTCGGGGCCTGTGGCCACTCTGCCTACCTTCACATAGTTGTCTTCACAGTAATCAGCGACTCGCAACAAGGAGCTATGGTTGCCTCGCAGAGCCTCCCGGCCCGTGGGGATCTCAAACTCCTGCAGCTGCTGCAGCTCCGCCATGGCCCCCAGCCTCTGATGGGCTCCCCAGGGAGCCGCGGGTTTTGTGCCTCACCCAGCCCTTGATTGGTCGCTCCGCCTTCCCTCTCTCACTGCTTTTGGTTTCCTCTTCGTGAGAGACCCAAACCTGCTTGCAAAGGTCAGGCATGCTCATTCCGGGATAAGAGGAAGTCAGTCCCTGCTCCCTGGGACTGCGCCTTTCTGTCCCCTGCCCAGAGGAAGTGGGGAGGCAGTGGCCCCTTTGGGGGCCCAGCCCCCCAATCCCTCCCAGCAGAGGAAGCCAAGGTCGGGGTGCCTGTGATTACTCCGTGGGCCTGGAGAGGAAACTGTTGGGGGGCAGGGGTAGGTTGCGGAGGAAGGGGGTTGGCTTGCTCTCCGGGGGTGGAGATGGATTTTCCACTCATGGAAGGGGAGGAAAGGACAGAGGGTGGGTGCTTCCTTGGGAAGCCCAGAGATGAGTCACCAAGGGACAGGAGAGTGGAGGGTGGAGAGGATATGGAGACCAGTCGTGCTGGGGGCCTGCAGGATGGCGGAACAGCAACAATGGAAAACAGACAATGCAACAGCAAGAGGAATCAGGCTGGATACCAGGAAGATACAGCCAGTGGTGCCATGCAAAGCATTACCAAGCCTCTGCAGGGTTACACGCAAGGAAGATCTGATGTACACGCTCGGTGCCTGATGGAGGCGAGATAAGGCAAAACAGACCGAGTACAGGGTGAGGCATTCAGATCAGACTACAGAAAGGACTTGGCTTTGAGAAGCACCAGGTTCAAATTCCAGAGGAACTGGTCGGGTTTAGGAAGCAGCGGTGGACTGAGCCCTGAGCCAGCCTCAGGAGGTAGGTGCCCTATTCCCTGCACTAACCAGGAGTTGGACTAAATGGCTCCCAGGGTCCTGTCCTGATCTCAGATCCTTAGAAACCCTGGAGCAGGGGAAGTTAGGATGGCTCCCTACCCCTCCCAGCACCCAGCCTGTCATCCTAGAGGCAGGAGAAAAAGAGGATCGCTCACTGACCACATCGGTCCCTTAACATCTGCTCCTCGAGAGGGTAGCCTTGTCATTGGACAGGAGTCAGCCTGAGCAGGAGCTCACAGGCTGGCATCTTGGGTGGTCCTGGGAGGTGTCCCAAGAGAAAGATCAGGACAAGTGCCCTATGCTGGGGCAGACCCACGCCCAGGGCTCAGAGGGAGGCATGGAAGCCAAGAAGCAGGGACAGGGCATTAGACGTGGCTATGCCCCAAGTGCTAATTGACATACCATCCTATGTGAGCACATTTTGATTGAATGATTGAACAAAGAGTGACCTGGGAGAAACTTATAAAGTGAAATCATGAGGCTCCAACTGAGGATGCAAAGGCTTCCTGGGCGAAGGAAATTAAGGAGCTGATCTAGGGCTTGCCTCGCTAAGAAGAAAGCAAGAAAGTGCAGTGTCAGAGATAGGGGAGGGGAAGGGAGGGGAGGGCTCTGGAGGGAAAGCAGGGGGAGAGGAGCATGATGAGAACTGGGGAAACAGGCTCTGAGCCAGAGGGGTCACTAGAGGAGGGGAATTCATGCAGGGGGCAGGGTGTCTGCTCTGGTGGCAGTGAGAGCTTGGAGGCTCAAGCTGACGGAAGCGCTTAGAACCTTGAGCCTCTGATCAGCTTAGGCATCGGAGCTTTGGGCTTCCAGACCATCTGCTTTCTCCAAAGACTTTCAGCTGATGAGGAGCTGGGAGGCTCCAACACCATCTTGTCTGGGTCGGGCAAAAGTGATTTGAAGTGCACGCTCTTTCTTGGCAGGTGAGAGGGGCTGAGGCTGTACTGGGCTGGGGTCTAGTCTTAGAGTGATTGAGGTTAGGCACCAGACAGGCCTTCCAGATAATTGTGTAATCATGATGTTGATGATGATAATGATGATGGTAATAATAATAAATGTATTATGTTCATTATGTGCCAGGTAGTGTATTAAAATGTTTTATATGCATTGTTTTTTTTGGTACTCACAATGCTCATATGAGGTAGGTACTATTATTATACCTATTGTACAGATGGGGAAACTAAGACCCAAGGAGGCTGAGCGACTTGCCTAAGGCCTCACAGATTGGAAGCAGCAGAGCTGGGATCTGGAGTCCAACAGGCTCCAGAGCCCTTCTCTGAACCACTGGGGTTCCCTCTCCTGGGACAGGACCCATAGTTTCCTTAAAACTCCTGCCTGTATCATACATGCAACAGTAACTTTGCTTCCCGAATCTGCCTCACTGAAATAAGTTTCCTCTCCCTTCCTTGTGCTCTGATTCCTGTTTCCTCCATAGACAGGTCCTTACTGAGGAGCAGAGATGGTGCCTCCCCCATCAGATTGGGAGCATCCTCACCTCCTAAATCTGGACGCATGATGTGGCGGGGGGGTGGGGGGTTGCAGTGAACAACGAGGGGCCTGAACCGAGGGACATGGCAGGGAAGAGGGTAGAAGTTGAGATGTGCAGAGTGTGGAGGGGGGGCTGCGGGAACCCGGGGGGGGGGTGCAATTTTGGCCACGAAATCCTTTCCAAGGCCAGGTCTCTCCAGGGCGGGATGGCCCAGGAGCTCAGTGAGAAGGAGCTACTGAGGATGGAGGTGGAGCAGCTGAAGAAGGAAGTGAAGAACCCAAGGGCCCTGGTGAGCCTCCTCTTCCCCTCCCTGCTCCCATTTCTCCATCCCTTTGTTTCTCATGGAGCTGGGACTAGAAGCAAGAAGCAATGGACAATGCAGTGTGGGGCGGGGGGTCTCTCCAGGGCAGAAGACAGGGCAAGAGGCGCCTCTGGGATGGGGTAGGATGTGGAAGGAGGCAGGGCTTTGACCCCATGGAGGTGCACGGGAGACAGCCTCTGAGCCTGTCCCACCGTCTCTGATCTGGGCCTGGCCCAGATTCCCCTGCCGGCAAGTCAGGCTTTGTGGTTCTGGCCACGGAGCCACCACCCTCTCAGCACCTGCCTGCCCCTTTCACCTTTCTCCTCCCTGGCCGCAGCCTCCACCCTGCCCAGATGCCGGTTTCCTTGGGACTGACCGAGTCAGGGATCCTGAGCAATAAACAAGGGTTGGAAACTTGCTTTGCTTCCTCGCAGATTTCCATGACAGGAAAGGAAATTAAGAATTATGTGGAGGCCCAAGCAGGAAACGACCCTCTTCTCAAAGGCATCCCCGAAGACAAGAACCCCTTCAAGGAGAAAGGCACTTGTATGATAAGCTGACGGCGCCAGAGCCCCTCACCTTGACCGGCCCTCCTCAACCCGCTCCTCACCCAGAACCAACTGTCCTGGGCACCCAGAGAATCAGTGAACTTCCTCTTTCTTTTAGTCATGGAATGAGTAAAGATACCTGGCTGCATGCATGGTGAATTCATTTCCTCAACCCCACTTTCAACTCTTTTCTGCCATTATTTCCTCTGCCTGAGGCATCCCTGTTGATCCCACTTGGAAACAGTCTGCTCTTCCCTCGTCCCATGAGTGGTGGGGTCTGAAGCACCTACGATACCCTGAGACCCCTGGGGACAGGCCTCAGGAGACGTTTACTCCTCCTCAGAACCTCTCCCATTTGTCCCCTCCACTCTTTTCCTAGGATCCAGCATTTCCATCAGAGGCGTTTGGATTGCTGGCTGGAGATGGGAGGTCCTTCTTCCCCATCTGTGTCCAGTCTTTGGCCCTCCTGCTAGTCAGTTAGATCACCTGATGGGCCTGATAACTCAGAGAGGTTGTGAAGTCATGATCTCATCATTTATTTAATATGAGTGAGGGCCTGTTGCACCCCAGGCCTCAGGGAGAGAAGAGTGAGTAGGACTAATGTGGCTCCTGTTTTCATGGAATTTAGCAGAGAAGACGTGAAACAAAGAGTTTGCAATTAAGCCCTGGACAGGTGGCTCAGCTGGTTGGAGTGCCGTCCCATGTACCAAAAGGGTGAGGGCATGTGCTTGGGTTGTGGTTTTGACTACCCATGGGAGCACAGACAGAGGCAACCAATTGATATTTCTTTCTCTCTCCCTCCCCCTTTCTCTCTCTCTAAAGAATCAATAAGCATATCTTCAGGTGAGAATTTTAAAAAGAGAGTTTACAGTTAAATCAGTAAGTGTTACTATGGGGGAAGGAAAGTCAAGGGCAGTGTAGACACACACACCAGGCAGACAGACATCCAGAGCAATAAACAATGTACCCTGAACTGTGGCAGGCCAGTGGGGCGAGGGGCAACAACAGGAAGTGGTTACACTTGAGGTTGGGGAGGGAGACTGGGTCACCATTGAAGGACTGTGTCTAGAGCTCAGGTAAGAACTTTCTCTTCACCCTTAGAGGAATGCAAAGCCTAGGAAGATATTTAAGTAGTGGAGAGACAGGCTTTGCTTAGCAGAAGGGAGGCTGGATCCCACTAAGGGATGGGGATACAATGAAGGAGCCAGAGACATACACTCACAATACAGCGCGTTCAGTGCAACATCAAAGAGGTCTGTGTGGGTTGTGATGGGAACCCATAGGAGGGCTACCTAACCCAGGAAGTGATGCCCCAAAGAGTTAAGTTGTGATGGGTGCCAAACCTAGTTGAAGGTACAGTAGAATCAGAGACATAAATGTGGGGAGAGGGAGGAAGGTTTGAATCCAAACACCCATCAGATTGGAGTTGTTCGAATGTCAAGAGATAAGCCTAGGTCTCTAGGATTTGTTGTTAAAGAGGTGGGGTTGACAGTGACCTGAGGGGTCTTGTTTGCTGTACTAAACAACCTTGTCTGCTGGGAGCGAGTGGGTAATGCTTGCATTTAGAAGGAAATTGGCTTTCGGGAAGACTGAAAGGGGAAAGTAGAGGCAGAGGGACATGGAGGTGATTGGTAGGTCAGGGGAGCTGTGAATTAGGGGAGTGGCCGTAAAGCTCAAAAGGGAGATGGGGTGAAGAGTTCTTTGGGAAATAAAGTTTCCGGGTCTTGCCATCTCGTGAGGAGAGGGAGTTGTCAAGGATGAAGTCCAAGTTTCTGGCTTGGGAGATTATTAGAGGATTGAAAGCAAGTTATCTGAAAACAAACGTGACCCAATACAGTGAGAACACAGCTGCACGCTCACTCAGCCTCCCCTCCCAGAGGCCACGGCCCACGGGCATGCCCTGCTCAAGGTGGGACCACAGGCTGCTGGGCAGAATCCAGCATCTCCCCAGCAGGGCCCATTTCTTTCCCAGTTCACCATTCTGCAGCCTGAAATAAATTTAGCCACCCTCCATGTGCTGTGCTCGAAAGGAGGGAAAGACGAGGAATGAGAAAGACAAAACATTTAAATACAATAATAGTTGATTTTTGAAATGGGGAAGGGTAACTATTCCCTATGGCTATGGCAGTAAGAAAGGAAAAACAAACGAGGCTGCAGTCACAGGGCTGTGGACCAAATGGCTGTGGCTTCCTTCTTCCACCCGCTGGTCCTTGGTCACTGCCTTCAGGCACAATCTCACTGGTTGAAGTGGATGGTTGGGTGGGGGGGAATCCAACCTCTGTTCCTGAGGAGTTTCCCCCCTGGGTGGGGCTCTGGGTAAAATAGCACCTATACTTAGGGCACGGAGCTCCAGGGGCCCCTCTGGCTCCTCCCGTATGCCTCCTGGCCACAGGAGGGTCCAACACTCTGAGCTCCTTTTCTCTTTGTTTTTCTAGTTCCAGAAGGAACTTCAAATGGCTGAGGGCATTCTCAGCTTCCACTTCAAAAGAACTATTATTTTGTGCAAAGGTGGCAGCATTCCTTCCTTGCATGTTTGGACCATCACGTTAGCAAGTTGAGAAGACGAGAATGATCAATGATCACAGTGAGAGCCAGTCGTTGATGTAATCGAAGCCACCCATCCCCACTTCTATCCCGCCTTTGAGTTTTTTAGCCTTGAAAGAAAAGCCCACTCTGCTGTGACTGGTTCAGTTCAGAGCACACTTGGCAGCCTCTGACAGCGCCCCATCTTTGCAAGGTGATGTCCCCTTGCTGGCACCGAATCCGGGCTTTACCAGGCCGGCCTGTAATTATGTAAAGCTACCAGCTTCCAGGTGGTGGGCACATGGCGAGATCAGCAGATCCTGTTGACCTTAGCCCCTTGCCTTACTTCTTTTTAAAAACTCAGTAGTTTCATTTCGAAATAATTTTAGATTTACAGAGAGTTGCAAATCTAGTACAGAATTCCCATGTGCCTTTTACCCAGCTTCCTCTAATGTTAATATCTTACATAACCATGATACTTTCATTAAAACTAAGAAATTAACATTGGTACAATACTGTTAACTAAGCTCCAGATTTTATTTGAATTTCCCTAGCTTTTCCACTAGTGTCATTTTCCTGTTCCTGGATCCACATCATCTTTAGTGTCCTTTGCTGGGAAGAGCTTCTAGGAGATAGTAGGGTCTAGGACACCACAGCCTCTAGAAGACATTCCATAAGTTCACAGATGGCAGCACACAACAGGCAAGGAATGCACATCCAATTCCGAATAAGTGCCTATTCCAGTGACAACCTTCTGTCCCCTCCATTGACCTGCCACCAGAGAACTGGCAGGTTGTCCTGAGGTCGGCTGCTATATGAGGGGCTCAGAGCTGTTACCATTGCTGGCTCGTTGGTAGAGTTGCACTGGCCTTGACGAAGGAATGCCCATGCTTGTCCACTCATGCATAAGCTCTGTTCCTGCCTCTCTGGCTGCTTAGTTTCATGAGCCCCAGCCAGGCCAGCAGGGTTCTATTTTTCTTTTTCTTTTTTAAAAATATTTTATTTATTTATTTTTAGAGTGAGAGAAAGGGAGGGAGAAAGAGAGGGAGAGAAACATCAATGCATAAGTGATACAACGATCAGTTGCCTCTGTTTGCCTCTAGCATGCCCCCAACTTGGGACCCGGCCTGCAACCCAGGCATGTGCCCTGATGGGGAATTGAACCAATGATTTTTGGGTTTGCAGACCGGCATTCCATCTACTGAGACGCACCAGCTAGGGCCCCAATAGGATCATAAAGAGCCTCCTGTGCAGGGAGACTTCTGGTAAACCTGTTCATGTCACTTGAATATTTTCAGACTCTGAGCTCTCCCTAAGGGGACCAGCTATATAGCTCCCTCCCAATATCATTTCTTTAGTCCTTCAATTGTCCTCTATGACCTGATCATCTGACCAGAATTTTAACTGTTTCCCAGGAATCAGAAGAAGGGATTCCTGTCCCTGATGACTCCCCTGGGAAGGGTAGCTCCCAGAGACAGTGGAATCACTGGGATCCAGGCACTCAGGTGTCATTAGGAACTGAATCAGGAAGGTGGATTAAGAACAGAGACAAGGTAATGAATTGGAGAAATGATTAGGAAAGAAAATTTTCAGGGTTAGGGATTAAATGTTGGAGGATGGCCAGGAACTTCAAGGGTGACTTCAAGTGTCTTTCTGGGATGACTGAGTGAGTGGTGATGCCACTTCCCCAGGTGACTCTAGATGATTCCCCCAGGATTCTCCTCCCTTCCCTTGAGCCCTGCTGAGAATTGCTGAGAGGTGACCGCTGATAGGACAAAAGTAGGGGACACCGCCCAAGATGGCTGCTTGGATCCAAGCAAGAAGAGGCTAAAAATAGAACTTAGAGAACATCAGCAACTAGGGCTGGGATGGAAGAAGGAGGGCCATGAGAAAGACCAGAAGGGAAGGTCGGAGAGATGAGGCCACCAGCAGAGGCTGGATGACTGAAACTGATGATCCTGAGCTGTGAAATGATGTCAAGTCAGGAAAAGGGAGGATGGGAGGGGAATGCTCTTGATTCCCTGGTCAACCTACATAAACCTGAGTAATTCTCAGAGTTCGAATTCTCTATCACCTTCCTTGCACATGTTCAGGGAAGACTCCCAGGATGGGAGCTTTAGAAGAAGGGGAGGCAAGAGGGGAACAGCTGGCGGGTAAATTCAGGGATCAGCTTCTGAAGCTGGCGGAGGCTGCAATGTTTCCTAGTGAATCAGACAGTCCAGCCCTCCCCACCCCCGACCCTGGCGCCTCCCAGATCTCACCCCTGCCGACTGGAGGGATGAGCTCTTGTCTGCAGGGCATCTTGGTGCCTTAGGCAGAGTTTGACTACCCACCGTGACCTGAAGGCCTCCGGGAAAGTTAGTCAGAGCCTCCTGCCTCTTTATTCCCTATGAGCTTCAGGCCTGAGGATGCAACCAGCTTTCTGGGTGTGGTCCACCTGCGCTCACTAGCCAGGAGGTACATCGGGCCTCCTGCTTAGAAGGGCCGGTGTTTGGTTTAACACTGCTGTAGCCACCTTGAAATTCTTAATTTTTGGACAGGGACCCCACACTTTCTTTCTGTAACTGGGCCCTACCTCTTCTGGATCTAGTCCTGTGTAGGGAGACCCAAGCCCA